GATTTGAGGGTGTCGACGGATGATAAGGAGTCGATTGAAGAGCAATGGAATCGGATTACTTCGCAGATACGATCGAGGGCCGAGACAATTTTGGGAACCACCAAGCCAGGACGTCGGTTTGTAGACAAGCAGATCTGGTGGTGGTCTGAGTCAGTCCAGCAAGTGATCAAGGAGAAGAAAGAAACTTTCAAAGCCTGGCAACGCTCACACTCAAATGAAGACCTCCGTCGGTATCGAGAACAGAACTCGAAGGCGAAGCACGCGGTAGCCGAAGCAAAGGAAGCTCACTACAAGAGACTTTACGACGAGCTGGAAGGACCTGCTGGAGCGAACAAGGTCTACCGACTGGCCGCTGCACGACATCGAGCGAAGCAGGACATCGACCACGTCATGCACATTAAGGACGCAGAGGGCAACCTCCTGACGAAGCCGAGGGCAATACTCAAGCGGTGGAGTGAATACTACAAAGGGCTGTTTAATGAGGAGTTCCCGCACCCGTTAATACCGCAAGGAGCCCCCACATATGGACCGGTATCTCGGATCGAGGAGGCAGAAGTTGTGCAGGCACTGAGGAAGATGTCTAGCGGAAAAGCCCCGGGACCCGACGACATACCTGCTGAAGTGTGGAAGATGATGGGGCAGCGTGGAGCGGCATATCTCACATCGCTCTTTAACCGCATTATCGTGGACGGACAGTTGCCGCGAATCTGGACTACGAGTGTCACAGTCCCTATCTGGAAGGAAAAGGGCGACGTCAGCGACTGTTCAACATATCGACCAATACGCTTGCTATGCCACACGATGAAAATCTTCGAACGAGTCATCGACGCACGCACTCGAAGTATAGTGGAGGTCACCCCGAATCAATGCGGCTTTGTAAAAGGATCTGGCACCATCAACGCCATCCACGCGGTACGATTGCTAATGGAAAGGCATTTGGAGAAACGGATTCCGATTCATTTCGCATTCCTGGATTTAGAAAAGGCATTTGTTCGGATACCACACGGGCTGATCTGGTATGCGCTGAGACAACATGACGTCCCAGAAGAGTACGTTCGCTGGATCAAACTCCTCTATACGAACACGACGGGCGCCATACGCTGTGCAGTGGGAACGTCAACGCCATTCCCAATCCAAGTCGGAGTACACCAAGGATCGGCTCTATCACCGCTTCTCTTTATACTGTGCATGGACACGGTGACCAAGGACATCCAGCTACCGCATCCGTGGACGCTCCTTTACGCAGACGACGTCGAGCTAGCAAGCGGTTCGAGACAAGAGCTTGAAGAGGCGACTGTGAGATGGAAGACACGATTAGCAGAGTATGGCCTACGACTGAACGTAGCAAAGACCGAGTACCTGGAATGCGGAGAGCAAACCGATGGCACAATTAGCATCAATGGGCAGCCGCTGAAGAAGGTCACGATATTCAAATACCTGGGCTCCCGAGTGACGTCAGATTGCGACACGATCACTGATGCTCGTGCTAGGACGAACGCGGCGTGGCTAAAATGGCGGCAAGTAACAGGAGTACTCTGCGACCGACGAATTCCGTTGTATCTCAAGTCGAAAGTGTATCGGACTGTGGTGAGGCCAGTCGCACTGTATGGAGCCGAATGTTGGCCAGCAACCAGAAAACACGAGCAGATCCTGAGCACGATGGAGACGCGAATGATAAGATGGATACTGGGCCTAACGAGAAGAAACTGCGTCACGAACCATGATGTACGACACATTTTCGGAGTTGCACCTATCGCGGATAAGATGCGAGGTGCCAGATTAAGATGGTATGGTCACGTTTTACGAAGTGAAGATAATACGGTAGCAAAAACAGCACTTCGTCTAGATCCACAGGGGAAGAGACCACGTGGCCGTCCGAAGCAACGCTGGTTGGACACCATTCGAAACGACCTGCACATTGCAAAGCTCAAACCACAAGAAGCAGCTGATCGAGTCAAATGGAAGCAAAAATGCACCACCGCCGACCCTGCACCCGCGGGACAATGGCGAAGATAAAGAAGAAGAAGAAGATCTGTCTACTGCATAATGACCAAGTTGCAGGTCTGTGGCATTCTTTATCGCAGAAATCCAATTTTCAGGTGACAAAATTTTCTCCGATTTTGGCTTCAAACTTTCCACGAATGCGGCTTAGGTGGATCCTCGGTAGTTGTTTTGTAGAGCTTGATCTGCTCTATCGAATGATACCCTAAGTTAACTGGGAAAACAAAAACAGCTTGAATTATTTAAAAAGGGAGTTTATTTTTGGGACAACCTAATAATGATAGTAAAATAAATATAATGGGGTCTTTCGTTGTCCTCTGTATAATCCGTTTAACTTCAAGGTTATTGTTAAACACTGTGCGGGCTCGGAGCTCGATACAAAAACGTTTACGAAAAGAAGCAATTCGGGCAAATCCTGAGATATTTGGGCAGATCCTCAGCAAGGACTTCTCAGCATTTGTCCCGAATCAGGTTCTATGCATTTATCATTATCATATTTTAAGTTAGCAATTGCGAACTATTATAGATGCAGTTTGTGATCCTTTACTTTGCTCTGAAGGAGAGAAGATGCATTCCCTAAGAGCAAATTCGTAACAAAGGCAATCAAAATATCAATTTAGATTCCGCAATAATAACGTGACCAGTTGCCTGTCTTTGATGGAATGGCAGTCCCGTTCAACAACCCAAATTAGTTGACTCTATTCTGCTGAAAGATAGGTCTTGCGCCGAAATTGTTTGAAGAAAGTTAGTCCATGTTTCTTGGAATTATTTGATGTAATATAAGTTAAATGGAAGACATTATAAGAACAGTTGATGTTAATGTGGCAATGAGAGCTGATAAGAACAAACATTCGAACAGGCTATTCAAAATTACGGTTGCATTTGCTGGGCCCTTCAGCTTTCTTCAAAATAAAAATTCTATCACTTTTGTTTGCGGATTGTGCGATCTCTATTTTCGAACCAGGATAGATTTGTAATGGCCGGATGTCTCTACGAAAAGCTGTAATTTCAGAATTCAATAAACTTTTGTTTTGTCCGAAATAAAATCTCTTATATTTTCAGAAGAATATCACAATAATATATATAGAGTGTCCCAAAATATGTGCCTATTGTTGATTGCTAATCACTCCTTTGTCATGAAATTTTTCGAGAAGCTTTAGCAGCCATTTTGAAGCTGGCTCCAGTTCATTTTGCGGTGTGGAGCAAGTTATACCGATCTCTCTTTGTTCTTTAGGGTTAAGGTAGAAACTTTGAGGAGTGCTTTGCATTAATAAGGGCCATTTTGCCCCTAAAAAGGTCCGCGAAGCGGAATTGTACACTAGGTAAATGAGAGCCGTTGATTTGAATTGGAAACTCGCACTTCACAGTAAAAAAAATTTCGTAAGTCATGCCATGCTCCTTGAAACCCGATTCTAAAATTCGTCAAAAATTCAATTACGCCAATTGAAAAAGCTCTAAGAGCGCGCAAAAAAAATCATGTAGTAAAATCGGCATGCATGGTAGCTTTGTTGTACAGTGTTTCAGACTTTAAAAAAATTTTTCCAACGGCCTATCTCGCAGTGGCGCCCTATGCTGCAAGTTCCTACCGTAATCCAACAGTAATGAAGAGAGCTAAGCTGAAGCCAGCTCTACGTAATGGTATCTAAATTTCTCGACAGATTTCATGACAAGAGAGTTATCAACAATCAAGCAGTAGGCACATTTTTGGGACACCCTGTACAACGCAGAAAGTATCCTAAAAATCGAGAAATCATCTGTGTCAACGGTAAATCATAAATATTCATGTTTTCCAAGACAAGACAGAGCTAAGCACTCTAGAAAGTTTTTGTTAAGCAGTTACGACTAGTATAATTAAGAAGCTTGTGTGAGATGACGACAAAGCTTTTGAAAAGATTAGAAAATTATATAATTGTTCTCGCGTTACGATCTTCTTAACGCTGATATAAACTTTCAACCTTTGTATCTTGCAAATCTCTATGAAGACATGATTCAATTTTTGGATTGATCATGTAATAAATTCGCGCAATTCTCTTGTCTTGATTTTTTCTAGTCATTCTGTGAAAGGTGTATATGCTTTTTGAAAACTTATTTTACTCTATGAATCCTCTTGTTTTGTTTTTCATGGATGAAATTCTCAGACTTCAAGATTGGAAAATCAAAAAACCGATACAGCGTTTTCTTTTCGTGTCTCCAATTTTCATTTTACCTAAAAGTTTTTTCATCAACTCGACAGCAGACAGAACAACAAGGCTATCATTTATATGGTCACTTATAGTCCATGACCTATTCTCATCTTGTCATCAACTACTGTTGGTGACAAGATGGGAATAGGTCAATGTTGCTACTTTTTTTTTCTGAAGACGACACAGAATTTCGAGAACTTCACACGCCTCCCATTTACTTTGTGTCAAACCGAAATTCAAATCTCTTATGAAACCTGAAAGTATTGCTGAAGATAAGTGCAACACTACCAAGTGTTCAAACTGCTCAATAGCCCGTGATATACAAATGAGCAATCCGGGAAGAGACTACCCAATTCACACCGTTTTCGCATATCTCAATGCAAGCTCAATGAGGCTTTTTTGCCCATCTGTCTTTATAAGAAATGATACAAGCAACAGGACGAGAAAAACTCCGGATTACATAATCCACTCACAAGTAAGCTCATCATAGATATAGGGAAATATTGAAATTCATAAGCACTTTGGAAGAATGCACTCTTACTCTAATCGCATCGATTTTCATAGTACGTTTTCCTCTGCAGGCCGCTGTCAGTGGATTAGCGCTGTAAATCTAGGCCATTGTGACAAAGGAAAATCAATCAGCTCTGAAAAGGCCAGAATAAATGAGACTTTGAATATCGCTCAAATCAAGATATCAAGCGACTCATTGAAAATGTTACTTGACTTGTTGAGCTATGTTCCCTGCCATGAACAAAATAGGAATTTCATATTCATGTACCAATAAAATTGTCAAGTCGCAACAATCAATATGTACAGCAGATAAGAAAGTGAAGTATGAGAACATAACAAATAGCTCGTAGCATTCTATTGATCTGACATAGTAAGTAAGCATCACAAGTATGAAGAGTAAAAATAGAAGTGGTGATAGAGATTCAATTTGGTCACATAAAATAGTTCACTGGCTTTAGTGCCAATTCATGAATAATCGTTGGAGTATAAAGCGACCTATTTGATTCAACAGTGTGTGCAAGCAAAATATGTAAATTAGCAGAAAAATATGAAAGGTCAATGGAAGGGAAAGTGGTTATTTCATGCCGTAAATGCTCATCCTACTCGCCTCGTGGAGCTGCTAAGTTGCCGTAATAAACAGTCAACGTTTTGATCTTTTTATTTAGACAGCTTTGTTCAATTTCGCATCTCCCTCCAGGTCCACTAAGTGCTATCAGCTGAAATACAAACTATACTGATTATTTTCGTAAGAAACATATGCCAGAATCCGAAAATTTCCTTTTTTCGATATAAAGAGGGCACGAGACAGTTCAAAAATGTTTTGGTCCGTCCTCAGTGTTTTAAGATACAAGGAGTCTCAAAATTATGCATAGACAAGTTAATCATTTGTTATTATCCTGACTCAACTTCTTTCACAGTTCTCATTGTCAGAGTAATGTACTGAAAAGCTGGCTCTAGCTTATATCTGCGACATAATGCAACTCCTGGTTTATTGTGGAACTATTGAGAATTCCCAAGATAATGTGAACTGACAGTTATGCCAAATTCTAAAATACCTATTCGCGCAAATTTTTCGCGCATGCTCAATCGAAACACCCTAAGTGTCTATAATATTGCTTGAACAGTTTAATCAAACTGGCGAACATCAAAGAAAATAGCCGTCATAAAGTTGGTGATGATGTTGATGTTACTTTGCAAGAGAAAAGAATGTGAAAGTGGAAAGGAATATGAACAGAAATAAATACAAAAAAACATTACCTCTTTCACGCTTGTGTTCCTCGGCAAAAAGTATGCTACATTTGGAGACATTTTACTTGCGGCGGTGTAGATGTCAAGACCGTTTGGAGTCAGATCATCGAGATCAAAACCTGGAATGTCAAACATACAAGCAAAGTCTACTACAATTCTTCCTTCTGGAATTCGATCAGTTATGAAACAGAATCAGTGAATAAAAATAGTTATACGCTTTAAAACTTACAAACGAGAGCAAATTGAGCTGTTGTGACACAGCGGAAGCAAGCAAATTATTATACTATATACGACCGCATCCTCTGCCATGTTGAGCGACTCTTTTTCAATTTCTTTTCAAGCAATCATTAAAGCCTTGTCACCGTCCAGAAGGATGCCTTGAGTTACATTTTCAGGTGCTATCAAAGCGCGACCAGCTGATGCAAACCGACAAGCTATATAGCTTCAGCGCAGTCAAACAGAGTGAAAATTCCGAGTGAGCACGCATACGTCCAGTCAAATTTGAGCTCATAAAGCAAACTCGGTGTTCCTCCGCGTGCATTTAATTTGTTTGATTTTAATTTTTTTAACTTCAGCGCATTAAGGTCAGATAGTCCAGCTCCCATAAGCATGATCGTACACAAATGAGACTTGTTTCACTTCGCGATTTCAACGAAGATGCAGATCTATGACGAACAGGAATGATTTTGATTGTGAAATTGTAAACTACTTTTCCAGGAGTAGATGAAACATTGCCATGTCACCACTCACCTCTGATTTCAAATAACCAGGTCCTCCCCATGGTGGACTAAGAAATACAGCGTCTACCTGCGAAAACTGATGCTCCTTTGAGTATTTTCTAGGATGTTTAAACATAAAGTGTAGATGAATCAATACCTCTGCGCACTTTTCTGAGCCGCTAGTCCATTTGGCTGCAAAATGGAAGAAATCACAGCACAAAAATTCGATGCGAACTTCAACGCCATACACCTATAGTTCGAGCATACTAAGCAAAAATAAAAAGAGAAAGCTCAAAAAAAGCCGCATCGAATTTCGTGTGAATACCACATACCTTAGCATTCTCTCGGGCGCACTTCAATCGCACTGGATCAAGATCGATTGCTATTACTGGAATAAAAATGAGCGTCTTGATCAATCACACCACTATGTATGGTATGATAACAAGCGACTGTACTCAAGCTACTTTTGAATCATGCAAAGGGGCTAAGGACACATACCACGCGCTCCTTTGATAGCCAACTGGATACTCTCAGACAATTGTTGCAGCGGCCCGGTCGCCCAACTGGGCTTCGCTGTTGAGCCGCGGCACCTAAATATTTGCCTTACATGCATCAGGCCCAGCAGCGGCCCACAGGTGTGAGCTGGCGACCCGCGCACATAGTTGATGCCATGCTGACGGTGGCCCGCGCGCCTAAACAGGCTCATAATTTCATTGGCGGCCCGCGCACCCGTACACACGCATGCCGAAATTAACAGCGACCCGCTCATCCATATGGATTAACGCACGTTGTAAGCAAAAGGGTTACTCGCGTGAGATACGACGCAGTAAAAGGGATGCCATCGGAGCTTGCAGGCGAAGTAACACTTGCATTTAGGCACAACAGGTTCCCCTATGAGTTGACCGCTGATGGGGTTTCAATTAATCTCGTATATTTCGATCACTAGTGTGAAGCAGGAACTCCACCATTTTTGATCTCAAATGGGTCGCATCCACATTTGAGGTGACCTGCGCATGCAGGTGCGGCCGAGCAAAAACCCAACCCCAGGGTGACCCTGCTATGCTAGCATGGGCCAACAAATCAAAGGAGACATTGAAATACAGGCTGGCCCGCTCGTCCGGATGACAGGGTCGCTGCACACACTAGAACCGTCGCTGGCCCGCGCTAGCATGGCAGGGCAAGGCCCGGAACGGGTTTTCGCCCAGCCGGCCATGAGCGCGCGGGTGGCTGCAAAAAATATCTGAGCTGTTGCCACCAACTCCAGCAAACGCATCTACAACTAGCATTTCTTTCCGCCTCACTATGCGATCAGCAATATGTTCTGCTATTCGCTCAGGAGTTACCGAGAACCAGCCCTCTAAAATATCATCAAACAGTAGTTCATATGATCGTCGATACCGAGAAAAGTATCGGCCTACCACGATCCATGAGAACTCCTTTATCCAGTTTTGAGAACAGCCTGTACCGCTGGTACCAATATTTGATGATTTCCTAATTACTTCCTATTAAACCATGTAAAGTCATACCACATGTCACACCACATGATTAGCAGCTCCAAAATAAGCTTTTTTCTCCTCTTACACCCCCCCCCCCCTCCCCGCGATGCGATTTAAGTGACCTGCGTTTTGGTCGAAATCCAATGAAATATTATGGTTGTTTGCTAGTAATGCAAGCATTGTTCTGGTGCTTGGAGACGGTGTGAGGAACGAAAAGGAGTAGAGGTACAGATACGAAATCAGATAAAAGGCGCCCGAACAGACAGGGCGGGTGCTATTCAACTGCGAAGGACTACGGTAGATTGTTTAGAATGATACATCGCGCCATCAAAACTGTTCACCTCATCATCCTTGTAATAGTCGAATGCATTTTTCGCAACAAGGTGAGGTTCCCTATTCGGATCAAATGCGAACGAAATCTCAGCTCCTGAAGTGCCGTTAGAAGGTCCGACAACAGCTGGAGGTTCAGTTATAGTCGTCCTCCCCCCACTAGACACCTAGGGACGAATTCGAATTTGAAGTAGAGCACGCCGTATGCGGCAGAGCGCGGTACCTGCAGCCCTCACTTTGATCTCAAACAGACGTTTTTGCGTTTTCGGAACGTTTCATCCTAATTTTTGATTGTTAGCAGTCTTCTCGACTGGATTGTAGACATTGCTAGTCTTGAGTGATGTTTCCTGCTACTATGCTCGTTATTTGAATTCTGATTTCAAATTTAGCTGAGATAAAAACCGAAGAAGCGAGCATAGTAGCACGAAACATCGCTAAGCAGCAACAATTTCGTCGATTTTGATTACAAACATCACTGAAACAAAAAGTCACCATGCAACGACGAAGAAACTCCAAAGAATATTGGATGAGGTTGAACTGGAGTTGACAATGCCGCGCTCTGCCGCAATCGGCGTGCTCTAGTTCAAATTCGAATCCATCCACTTGGTGTCTAGTGGGGGGAGGACGACTATACTTCACTTTCACAACCATTGGTGCTAGGCTCATTTTCCTTCACCGTCTTCTCTGACCTGCAAATCAAGTTAATAGAGTGTGCATGGTTGCGAATACATCATGCAAGAAAAGAGTTAACGACCTGGAAAAGCACGAAAGAAAACTCAAAAGAATTCACCTATCTAGCACGACTTTCATGGATGCTGCGTAGGTATCGCATATATCGTAACTGACCCCGCTAAATATCTGAAAAGCATTTATCTCTCAGACACAGAAGAAATCTTTACGCGAACCTCATCTTCACCGTATACCACTGTCGTGATAAACACACGACTCCATGCCCAAATTGTAACTCTTTGTGACCATTGTGTTTACATGTAAACTTTTCACAAAGAGTCCGCCATCTGGCGGACTCTTTGTGCCCGTTAGGGCCAGCCTCCTGCTGGCCAACTTTACCCCTCATTCTTCACTGTATCGTGTGCCGGAACAAGCCGGCTGTATTTGTGCTCCGATAAACATTCTTACTCCCCAAGTGTTGGCTGAGTCATCGAAGAGTCCCCCAAAAACCCACTGAACCACCACAATTTTGGTGCATCGGCCGGGAAACAAAAAACCCGCCGAATCTTTTCTAACAGGTCAAATCCTGTACATCTTGTCAAAGCAAGATGGAATTGGTGTTGCTGAAAAATCCGCTCACCATTAGCGCCAAGACGCTAAAAACACTTATAAACACCTTCAAGGACTACACAAAAAAACCAGTGTATCCCCCCGATGACGAAAAAGCCTACGACGAAAGTCAGGCAGCCGCTGATGTAATAAACGAAGCAATATACCAGGTAACTGTTGCAAAAGATGAGCTAATAAAGCTCGTCGCTCAAATCAAAAAAGAATATGAGAGGATTCAAGATACGGGCGAAAGAGAAGACTTCTCCGACGCTTTAGAGATGCTTGAAGATGACACAAACTTCAATGAAATTTTGGGAGCAGGAACTGAAATAATTTTTATGCTCAGAGCAAGGCTTACCGAAGTCATTAGCACCCGCAATAGACTGGGACGCAAACTAGGACTTACTGTACCTACGCAACCAAATTCAACAGCAGTCACAAATGGAAATTTTATTCAAAATAACGATAATGAACAGCAGGAAATCAGCGAAGATAACGGATGGATAACAGAAAACAGCAATGATAGCACCGATGTAAATATACAAACAAACCGGAACGAAAGCACCGATGCAAATATACAAACTAACCGGAATGTTAACACCGAAACAAATCAAGTACAAACAGTACAAATACAAACCTGTAACAATGTGAAAACGCCCGCACTGGAAGTGCCAAAGTTCTACGGGATGGAGGAGGATTTTCCAGAATTTTGGGCAATCTACGACACGTTAGTGCACAGGAACACCACACTTAGCACAGTGGAAAAAATGTTGTTTTTAAAGGACAGTTTGAGAGGAAAGTCAGACAATGCGATTAAAGGCATACAGCTAATACCACAAAATTATGGATGGATGGTTGATGCATTGAAAAAGAAATACGGCAATAAGCCAATAAACAGGGCAAGAATAGTCCACAGACTTACCTTACTTACTCCAGCGACCAAAACAGCGGAAAGTTGCGCTCACGTCTTCGACCGAATCCAGATGCTGGTGAACCAGATGGTGTCAGCAGGTCAAGACATACGCAAAACGAACGACGCCATGTGGACAGAGATGATCCTAGAAAAATTTCCGTACGATATAGTCAAAAACGTGCTTATCGCGATCAAAAGCAAAGAAGAAGTATCAGTCGAGGAAATAATGGAAAAAATTGAAAAAGAAATCTCAGCAAAAACCTATGTGCAGTCACGGATGAAAGCACATCAAAAAAGAGTAGAACCAACGGCAGAAACAAAAAGCCCGCAAATAACAATAACTGGTCCGCTTTGCGCATTTTGTGAGAAAGGCGGTCACTTTGCAACAAATTGCCGAACTATTACGGATATTCAATCGAGACGAAATATAGCGATTGAAAAACAACTATGCTGGAAATGTTTCTCCAATAAACATTTTAGTTCGGAGTGTCAGCGTCCGAACTGCGCCTCTTGCGGCAGACAACACCACATTGGTTTATGCTTTGCAAGTAGGCAACAGAGCTCAAGTGGGATATCTAGATCACAACCACCTGCTCGAAAACAGAATTCCGCTCCTTTCAAGAAACCAGATGAGCGCCCACAGGTGAACTGGAAAAATAACTCCCCGTATAATCTACGCCAAAGAAATAAAACGAATTCGCGACCCAATCTAGCCAACCAAGCAAATTTCGGCATAGAAAAAACAGGTGCTGATGTCCAAAAAAGAGAGCAAATTGTCCTAATGACTGCTGAAGGGATGATTTGGAATCACAACACCGAAAACTTCGAAAAGGTGCTCTTCTTTTTCGACATCGGAGCGCAAAAAACAGTAATTCGTGAGGAAATGGCGCAGAAATTAGGCCTACCTAAGCTGAAAACAGAAACATGCGTAATGTCTGGCCTCGGCGGTCATACCGAAATGTTCGAAAGCAACGTTGTTTCAATAAAAGTCAGTTCTGCTTATGGAAAAGACATGGAAACTATTATACAAACGAAACCGTTCATTACGAAGGCATTCCCCTCAGTCAAGCTAAACAACGTAGACAAGGAGTTCCTACAGAAGAAAGAGGTCTGCATCGCGAATACAAAACTAAGAGGAGAAATGCAAAATCCGGACGTCCTAGTAGGACTAGATCTCTACTACAATTTCATTCTGGAAACCCCGGAAAGCGCAACTACACCATCGGGACTTCGAATCGCAAGAACGATATTCGGACCTACAGTATACGGACGTGGGTCAGTTGAGGGAAAAAACGAAACTACAAACGTTATCTATGGAATGACAGCCATAATGGAAGAAGAAAATGAACTACTAAGCAAACTCTTCGAGCTGGAAGGGCTCGGCATATCAAAAAACGAATATGCGCGACACGATGAAGTTTTTGACTATTTCGAAAGTTATTCAAAGGATATCATTTTCCAAAATGGCTACATTACCGCTCCATTTCCACTCAAAAGCAATATAATTGACTTAACGGACAATTATGCGGTTGCTTACAGAAGACTAGCTGCTCTGCAAAATCAGCTATGTAATAACACCAAGCAAAAAGAGTGGTACTGCAAAATTCTTCGAGAATACGAGGAACAGAATATCATTGAGAAAGTTACCTACGATATCACAAATGCATCGGGAGTGTATTATATGCCCCACTCAGGAGTATGGCGAGAACACAAAGCAAAACCGTTACGAATTGTATTTGATGCCTCTTCCAAACAAAAAAGATGCCTGTCTCTAAATGACGTCATTCACAAAGGAGAGTCATTTGTTACCAAAATACACGATATTTTGGTGGCCAGCCGGAAAAGCAAAATTATTCTACTTTGTGACATTGAGGCCGCATTTACACAAATTAGATTAACGGAAACACACAAAGATTTATGTCGATTTCTGTGGCTGAGAAACCCAGATCTACCACTTACAAAAAGTAACATAGTGGAATTTAGATTCAATCGCCTTCCATTCGGCGTAACTGCCTCACCAAGTATCCTCAATATGGCGCTGGTTACCTACCTCAAGTCCAAAACCTCGCCAATTGCACAAGAAATAATCAAAAATTTGTATGTAGATAACATACTTTTACTTGCAAATAACCCAGCGGAAGCACTACAAAAATACTCCCAAGGAAAGGCACTTTTTGCCGAAATAGGCATGAATTTGAGAGAATTCATTTCCAATTCGGAATCAGTAAACAAAAAAATACCCGAAATTGATAGAACACCAGGGGGAAACATCAAGTTCCTGGGAGTGCCATATAATACCTACACAGATTCATTTAGTGTAAAAATAACCTTTCCTATGAAAGAAAACCTCACAAAAAGAGACATAGTTAGTCAACTAAACTCAATATATGACCCGATTGGTATAGCTGCACCACTAATCGTAAAGCTTAAGTCACTCATGAGGGAAATCTATGAAGAAGGAACAGATTGGAACCAAATTCTACCAATAGAACTAACTAAGAAATGGAATACAGCGTGCAATGAAATCGATAACGTAGAAGTCGCGGTGGCACGCTACCTCGGATCTCGTTATGACGCGTCTGCCATAGATGAGCGTGACCTTTGCGATCTCTGGGTCTTCGCGGACGCCAGTGTCTCGGCATTAGCGGCATGCAGCTATTTCAAAAAATATGCGGGCCAAGTAACGGCATTAGTCAGCGGCAAAACACGGCTGACACCCAAGAAAACAGTACAAACTATACCAAGATTAGAGATATTAGCCACACTGATGGCTATCCGTCTCGCAAAGAATATACGTGAATCAACCACGGAAGCGATACGACAAATCCACATAGTTAGTGACAGTGAGATTGCGCTTTCATGGTTAAAATCAAACCGTAAACTTCCAGTATTTGTACGGAACCAAAGAGAACGCATACTTACACTCAAACAAGATCTGGAATCTAGCAATGTCGCGGTCAAATTTCACCATGTCGCCACTAATTACAACCCGGCAGACGCTGGTACTCGCGGCGTCACTGCGAGACAGATCCACGAGATCGATTGGATTGAGGGACCGCAGTGGCTTACCAAACCAGGCCCACATAAACAGTTGAAAGATATATCAGAAATCACAGAATTTGAAGAAGAAGAAGAAGAGCCTTTGAAAATACAAATGCCACAGGTTAGCGACACCACAATCGATACAGAAAGTAACGATAATTTAATTGATATAACGCGATTCTCACAATGGACTAAACTACTAAGAACAGCAGCGAGAGTTGGCAAAATTATCGCGCTATGGGTGAGGAAAACCCAGGAAAAGCGAGGAATTCAAATACAGTTGCAACGATTAGCTCAGTTTGACAACGATACAGAGATAACATCTGAAGATTTGAAACTTGGTGAGCGAATGTTAATCGCAGATCAACACAAAAACGAAGGATTACAGAAGTTACAAAAGAAATATCCAAACAAAAAGGTTATCAGGGACAGTGACGATATTATTCGTAATGAATCAAGGCTGCAAAATGCCCAATTACCGTACGATACCAAATCTCCCATATACATAAACCCAAAATCGGACCTTGCAAGACTAATACTGCGAGATATTCATGAGAAAAACGCACATTGTGGAAAGGAACATACATTATCGATAGCCCGACAGCGTTTTTGGATCCCGAAACCATCAGGAGCATTCAAAAAGTTCTTAAAAGGATGTGTGAACTGCAAAAAATGGCAGGGTCTACCATTTGGCGCTCCAAACATGCCACCACTCCCACAGGACAGAGTAATTATAACAAAACCGTTCGATAAAGTGGGTTGTGACTTCATGGGACCAATAACGATAAAAACCCAAGAAAAAGTTTACGTCTGCTTATATACGTGTCTTACTATACGAGCAATACATCTGGAAGTGGTTGAAAACATGTCAACCGGAGCCTTTTTGAACAGTTTTATCAGATTTATATCCCGTAGAGGGGTACCCAGCACAATACGCACAGATTGCGGCACTAATTTCAGACTTGGTCAACAAATACTGGACATTATGTATGAAAAAGACCCTAGTACAGGTGCTTCGGTGATGAATTACAGCGCAAACTGTGGTATAAAGTGGATTTTCAATCCACCTGGAGCCCCATGGATGGGTGGTGCTTGGGAGCGCTTAATAGGTACAGTAAAAATGGCCTTCCGAAAATCAATAGGCAGACGCAGACTTGATCTAATCGAGTTATGCACAGCAATGGCTCGAATCGAAGCCATAATAAACACAAGACCGCTCACTAAGTTAGATTTCACCGACATTTCTGAGATCCCAATACGTCCAGTAGATTTCCTACAGGCTAATATCAAATTTGATGTTAGGGAACCACAAGTAGAAGGCGAGTCTAACGATCTAGACTTTGACCCAGAGTTAATTCAAACAGCTCGGCAAGCTAAGCAAGCCTTGTTAGCTTCCGAAGAAATCGCTGACAAATTTTGAGAACGATGGAATACAGAATATCTAACTGCACTGCGAGAAATACAACGAATTTCGCTCAAACAACCTCGCCACGTGCCCTTACGAAACCCAATTATCGGCGAAATAGTGCTGATGAAACAAGAAAATCTCCCCAGAGGTAACTGGTCGTACGGAAAAGTAATTGAATTAGTGAAAAGTCTAGATGGACAAATCAGATCAGCGAAAGTGCTACTACCAAATAAACATGTTTGTCATAGGCCACTAAACACGATATATCCATTGGAAATACAAAGCGAGGTAGAAAGCTCGACGATCAATAACGGCTAATTGTCAGGCGTAGATGATAATGGAGCGAATAACAACGGCGATCTGCCAGACATAGGTGTCGACGCTGCTAATCCGCCAACAGGTCACCAAGACCCCCCGCAGAGTCGGCCGCCGAGACAAGCTACGATAAATGCGCGAACAATTATACGTAATTTTGAACGAAGCTTGGAGGAATCAAATGAAGCTGACGAAGGCTTTAGCAGAGCATCAACTCCAATACGCCAGATGTTGCTTTCAGTTATCACCGCATTATGCCTCATCAATCCAGCTGCATCTGACAGATTAATTTGCGAAAAAGGCAATGTTAAGATCAACAATCCAAACACAACATTCGAACTATGTATGGGAAGCCTTTGTAGATCCTTTCCGAAGATGGCTATCGCACAAAGGGAGTGGTCATTACCTCCAACGGCATTAAATAAGACCATGTTTGTCTCCATGAGGTACTTTCTGGAGGATCAAGAAATCATGGAACAGGCATATTGCGTACAGCCACATATATGTGATCATTCGAAAGGATTCCTATCGAAAAAACTACTAGCAAACCCACATTGTTGGCCAAACGGTGCCATAGCATCCCTTGGATTAGCGCTTTATGCGATTATTGTAACAACTATTATGCTCTCCACCTGCATAAAAAGGTTACTAATCCGTCCCGTACAAGTAACCGTTAACACAAGCGATAATGCAAGTGTGCGGTTAGAATTATTTAGTCCACCGACGATCTATAGAGCCGTGAACATTGCCCTCGTATGCATACTGGCATTAACAGATGCGGCAGCAGCCTGCCAAAACGGCCACATACGGCAAGAAATCGATTTGATATGCACCAGCCATAACAGCTGCTCTTATGAGTACAAAAGAGAAATTCTATTCAATGAATTGGATTTGAAACACTGCGTCAACATTATGCATGCCAATAAATCCGTTGGTCTAATTGAAGTAGAACGATATCCAACGATAATGCGATGTGCAAAAAGATCATTGTACTTTACGAGAGATGCGACGACCAGAGTATTTAGCACTGTACGTTGCTCGCAGGCAGAGTCATGCGTGAATTCCAAATGCTCGCAAACAACTGTCAATACGACAATCAAAGAGCTTGGCAAAGCATACCAGTTTCCAGGCTACTCCGGGTGTCAGCATTCATGCGGCGGACTCGGTTGCGGCTGTTTTCTCCCGCTACCAGCTTGTTCGTTTTATCGGGTCACACAAATCCCAAGAAATGAAGAGATTTATGAAGTAGTATCATGTTTGAAGTGGGAACCGTTGGTGAATTTGAAAGTCCGAGTTTCACTCTACAACCAAGAAAAAGAAACCTTCATTACAAGCGCACCTTACATCAAACACGCATTTCAAGGAATGGAAATCTCGATAATTTCGGTACAATCGCCGCACTTTTCCATGCTAGACAGAAAAATAGCAATATCAAACAAGGAAGCTTTGCTTCTACCAGAAGGATACGAACTAGCAGCTAAATGCGCGACCTACCAATCAGCAGCAAAAGATTTCAAAAATTGCGCCAACCAAATGATATGCTCATGCGAAGACGCAAATGGAGCAATCAAATGTCACTGTCCTCAAATGTCCATTAGAGACGTGAAAAATGACATTACAAATGTATTTCCCATTCATACTCCCTTCACTTCCTTACAAAAACGAGATAAGGAACTCTTCGTAAAAACGATGCAAGGAGAAGTAGTCGTATCGCTAGAATCCCGCTCACTGAAGAACAGTGCAGAATATCTACTTGAACAAGATTGCAAACTAAACGCGAGCAGCGTGTTTGGATGCTACGACTGTCAGGAAGGAGCTCAAGTGAACATCAGTTGCACAACCAATGAAAGAGCATGGATTGTAATCCAGTGCGGGGAACACACATTCTCAGTAGAGTGCGATTCGCAAGGAAAAGAAACTGCACTAGCAATAGAATTCCAAAAAGCAATTGTACAAGAAACATGCGTTGCACAATGCAACAACAAGACTATCAAATTTGACCTTACAGGTACACTCAGTTTTGTACCAGACATTGTGGAACACATGTTGTTTGAAAATCCCGCTCAACTAAGAAATTCCCACAAAGATTGGTTTGCCGACTGGAAAGTTCCAAGTATTTTACCGATCTGGAATACTCTCTGCAAACACTGGCAAGTCACCACAGTTATATTGGGATCAATAACCATCCTCTCAGTGATAACATATTTCTTCGGACCAGCACTAATCTTTGCACTCGCTAGATTAGTCTACATCTGCGCGGTAATTATCGCGAAGACAACTGCGTTGTTTATTCAGACTGTTTACAAATGTATCAGAGCCGCCACGCACTAAAAGAGTGGGGCCGACCCACTATTATAATCAGCATTGTACACAATACCCATATCTTATAACATAAACAATCTCATATGGTAGGGGTGGAACCAAGAAACTTTGATGAACGATACTCATTCGACTAATTCACGTCAGCCTGAACACTACAACTAATGCCAATGGACGAGATCGACGTCGCCTTGCACATCGAACCTCTAGCGGATGCCCTCAAAGACATTAAGGAGCGGATGGAGAACGGACTGTCAACAATTAATGCCAAGATCGACAATATCATGCAAGCAGTCCAAGCTACGAGCGAGAGATGGTCGATTATTCACCACCAGCTAACTATTATGGTGGAAAGGACTACCCCGAGGTCAAATTGCATGTTTTGCACTGTGGAAGACAACAAGGATCAACACCCGACTGGACGTTGCTGCAAATTCCCCGACGCTGTGTCGCGGGCAGTGCAAGCGTCAGCCCTTGGACTCTGCGAAAGGTGCCTTCAACCGAAACACCACGAAGATTGTGGTGTAACGTGCCCCATTTGCGGCAGGCTGCATAACGTCCTGCTATGCCCAAACAGAGGACAGAATGGGCCATTTAAACGGCGAAAGGTTGGTTGAGATCTTACAACCCATCTTATACCTACTAATCAAACCCAAATCCTGGTTACAGTAAAAGCCCCAACGTTCATTCCATGTTCCCGACCACCTCTCAACCCAATAAGCTATGGTGAGTCTTTGCACTAGTTACAGATTGTTACATAATGTTTATTATCATAACATTATTATCATTACAATAACAATCACAACATGTCTATATTTACTACAATAAACAACAAACAGCTATCACGAATTAATGCCGTCCCCGATGTTACGTCGCAGAGTGGACATAGCCTTCGACAGAGCATTGTTAGCCGCTTCCAATAATGCCATGTCCTCCATTGACCTCTTCAACCATGCTTGTTTGGCCCTTGACGTCCATCGCTCATTAGACAACTTCTCAGTCAACTCTTCGGCGCTCTAAAAAGAAAATACTTATCAAATTATTCACAACATGGAACAAAAATGTCTTACCTTTTTGAACTCATCCCTTTCCCGTTCGGCTGCATTCAGTTTCCTACGGAGCATATTGATTTCTCTGTCCTTATCGATGAAGTCCTGTAATTATAAAAAATAAAAATTAATTCACAAAATAGCCACAAAAACCCTCAAGGTAAAAAGAAATGCGATGAACATATCTTTAATTACTCACCTGGTTACTTCTCACGGGCGCTACTTCATTAACAGCGGGCATCTTGCGTTAACTCTAGAGTAGCAACATAAGGGAAGACCAAGCAAGAAAAAAAGATAGCAAAAAATAAGGAAGAAATAGGCAAATGGCTGAAGAAGCGGCTTAATCACCCTTTTATGCAGCCAGGGTGACATCTTCTTGCGCAAGAGCAGACGCGCGTTAAGCATATCAGTCTAAAATTGAAATATCAGTCAATCAAATCCTTGAAAGACGATATGCGTCTGCTATGCGTCTGCTCTGACGCATCAGCTCGAATATGGCATCCAGTACCACTCAATATTCCCATATATCCCAGTAGGGAATGATTTATTATAAATTTCAATAATAATATACTTGATCTAGATCTTCTCCAGTTCGTCAAGCCCAACTCCGCCGCAACTACGTACCCTCCACTTCTCCTTCGCCTCAACATCGCATCCAGTCTTCAGCCGCTCGACAAGTTTTTTTGTTGTTCCGTTCCTTTCCCCCCTCTATTATACGTTTTTGTAACTCCTTGTAACATTTTGTTGTTAATTCTGCTGTTTCCATATCATTTTCTCTGTTTCTTGCTGTTCTTATACCCATTGCGAAATATCCCTTCCCTTTTTTTCATCCTTCCTTTTTTCTGTTTTTCCCTTTTTTTTCATCATGCCGAATGAGAAAATTCCTCATTCGGAAAGTTAATTTTTTGTCTGGGGGGGAGTGTCGTGATAAACACACGACTCCATGCCCAAATTGTAACTCTTTGTGACCATTGTGTTTACATGTAAACTTTTCACAAAGAGTCCGCCATCTGGCGGACTCTTTGTGCCCGTTAGGGCCAGCCTCCTGCTGGCCAACTTTACCCCTCACCCTGGCCAACTTTACCCCTCACTCTTCACTGTATCGTGTGCCGGAACAAGCCGGCTGTATTTGTGCTCCGATAAACATTCTTACTCCCCAAGTGTTGGCTGAGTCATCGAAGAGTCCCCCAAAAACCCACTGAACCACCACAACCACGGGGAATCGACGTTTTGACTCAGATTTGGTCTTCTTCTTCGGAACAACTTCCTCACTAATTGTGGCGACTTGAGGCTTATGGTATAGCCTAATGTGTAAGGGCGTATGGCAGGCCCTTTTTAGTACAATAAGAAAGTGGTTCAGTGGTTATGTTTATCAGGATATTGACAAGGTGCTCGGAAGAGCGCAAAACGAAGAGTGCGGGGCTACGCGCCCCGCCCCTGATGCAAGAAAGGGGGCCGCCATCGGCAGGGGTTCTGGCGTGGCCAGAACACTCCGCGCGACGACAGCCAAAAAATTAACATGGCAAGTTAACACAAATATAAATGAAATGATCATTCCTTGGAGGTGCTTCGTATTAATCGGAATGGATGTGGCAGCTGGTCGTGGTTGGTGGTGGTGGTGGTGGTGGTGGCAGTTGTGGCAGGTGGTCGGTGGCGGTTGCGGAGGTTGATCGAGGCGATGGCAGAGACGGTAG